GTTGGTTTTTATGGAATATGTTGACAATAACAAAAACATAATAATAATAATAATAATAATAATAATAATAATGATAATAATAATAATATTGCCGCCAGCCTTATCTTTTAAGGAACTAGTAAATTATTACCAGCATTAAAACAACTGTAATGAAGAAATCCCAAAGATGCTTCCTTTCACATTTATTGAACTAAGTTTGAAGATCCAGCAAAAATGACTACAAATGCTTCTAAAAACCCCCTCCACTCTGAATTCAGACCGAGGTTTGTAAATCACGAGATGAGTGACAGGAAGGACACGACGAGTGGTTGGGTGCAGCAGATGCACAGCGCCAAGAGCAACGAGCAGAATGTAAAGTCCAGCCGGGCTACGTGAGCTGCTGCAGAGGAATCTTACAATGCAGTACAAACACAACAGGTCCTCCGGTCCTTTCACCTTGTCTGTGTGTGTTACTGGGCGGGCCCACTAGCAGCCACACTCCTGAGTGCCCTGTGGCTGAGCGCGGCGAGGAGAGCGAAGCTGTCGTAACGCAGCGTCGCCATATTGGATACCTGAGCCCATCCTCTCTGGATCCAGCTCCCCTGAAAGAGAGTGGACAGACACAAGAAGTGAGCGGGTGGGGTTCCTGTAGGGATCTCCAACAACTCTGAACTGATGGTATTTTTTTAGGATTTTTTAATAATACAGTTAAGAATGCAGGTTATAAAAAAAGTGCCAGCCAGTCGCGGTACAAAACAAATATGTCATGATGAGAGTACTTACTAAGTTTAACATCAGTTTAAAAAAGCGGTGTAAATCCTGCTCTGCTTTTAAAAATAGTATTTCTGTTTAACTTGCTGAGGCCCTCCAGGAATGAGGCTCCAGATAGACGAAGGTTTAGCAGATCAGGCTTGTAAGTGATGGGAGATTTGTTTCTGACTTTAACTCTGAAAAATTCTCTGTGAGAGCTGCTACAGTGCGGTGTCTGGAGGTCTGGAGTCATACCTAAACCCGCCTTGTTGATCCCGTCAGGATAAGAAGGGATTTAGAGTCGGGGGTTAGGGTTATAGTTCAGGATCGCAGTTCCTACCTGACTCTATCTTGTTGAGGATTTTCCGAGCACACTGGACAAAGGCCTCTTCAACGTTCTCCCCTGTCAGAGCGCTCGTCTCCAGGAACATCAGCTCTGACACACACACACACACACACACACACACACACAGTTTCAGCTCTTTGCAGTGTTAACAATACGATTTCCTCTGAGCAGCATAATTCTTTGCAGAAGAAAGAAAGAAAATTGCACTTATTTCAGACAACTGAGGTGCTGACGTATGACATACCCAAAAAATGATGTCCTTCCTCTAACAATAAGAGGTCAACACCTGAAGTTCTCTTTCTACTGAGATAATTAAGCTCCTCTTTCACTATTATCAGAATTTTTAAGAGAAATATATGAAAGAATCCCACTGTTCTGATCCCGATCTTACCGTTCTCCTGAGCGAAGCGTGAAGCCTCCAGGAACGTGACCTCTCTGTCGGCGTCCAGGTCCTTCTTGTTCCCACACAGGATGATGACGATGTTCTGACTGGCCAGCATCCTGGCATCACTCAACCACGTGGTCAGCGCGTTGTACGTCTCTCGACTGCAGAGTACGGAGACAAAGAGACAGAGGGAAGAGACACAGGTTGCATTTTGGAGAGGAGAAAGAAGAGGGGAGCTGGCTAAAACATAAATACCAAAGGAGCTGAGATCATGTCCTGGGATTGGTTGATTTACCTGGTGATGTCATAGACTAGCAGCGCTCCTGCTGCTCCTCTGTAGTAACTCCTGGTCACAGATCTGACACACACACACACACCACACACACACACACACACACACAACAAACAACACACAACATTAGCAGGATTGTCAAATGTTATGTGGTAACTTACAGTCAACTGAGGGAACCCCAGTGGTTCCCAAACTTTTCTATCATTGCCCTCTTTGGAAGTACAAATAAACTTTACGTCACTCTCTTAAAGTAGACGTGTAAGCACAGTCCAATAACTAGTCCCATGTTATTACAAAACATAGCAACAACAAAACTTTATTGACTGTAAACTGAAAACTGAAAACATCCACACACAAAAAACATTTGATTTGCTCTCCAATAGTGAAGTGCTCTCAATTAGATTGAACAGTGGGTTTGTACTGAGGAGGATTCAATAATAATAACGTACAGTTATGTTGGGATTGCTTCCCTACCTGAACCTCTCTTGTCCTGCAGTGTCCCAAATCTGCAGTTTGACCATTTTGTTGACCACATTTATGATCTTAGAGCCAAACTCCACTCCAATGGTGTGGTTGGATTCATCCTTAACTGGAAAACAAAATAAAATGTTGCCATTATAATGAAATACCTGCAATACACAGTGATGACCTGCAGTGTATTTCTTCAGTAAAGAAAGTAAAAAAAAGCAGATCCAATTTTCACATATTAATACGTGTTAATTATTTATAAACACTTGCTGCATTAGTTTTAACACATTTACAGTTGTACTGTGTTATAACACTGCGCTCACATTAGAGGTCAGTTAAGTAACGTATAATGCCTGATGAGGTGTACATTATCAGGAATGAATGCATGGTGTGTTGCATCTTTCTAACTCACATCTCTTCTCTATGAACTGGTGCAGCAGGCAGGATTTGCCTGTTCCGGCATTCCCAATCACCAGGAATTTAAACAGGAAATCTGAGGAGGAAAAACAGAAATAATGTATAGAGACCAAACACAAGATCTGTCTGCAGTTACAGCAAACATGAGAGCCACTTTATTTATAACTAGCAGCTGACATATCATAGTATTAGATCTTCTAACTCTCAAACATTGATACGAGTATTGTCCTTAAAAATCCAAATTAATACTATCATAAAATACAACAAAAGAAAACTACTACTGGTACTTTCCAGTGTACAGATATGCACACAGCTATGCTTTAAGTTGTTTCTACATCCTTATACCTTCTTCAGGGTGACCTGAATGGCAACAAACAGCCTCACTTCACTGATAAATGCAATAACAATGTAAAATCCATGCTCATAACCAGCTGTGGTCATATAAATAAACCTCATTCATTCACTGGGACGGTGAAGCTAGGACATAAACCCCTCACAAACCACGGTTATCACTCATACAGTGATATATGAGGACATACAGTCATTGCATTGTATCTGCTTTACAGGATGTACAGCTCAGTCAGATGTTAACGCCAGCTCCATCGTCCCCAGGTGTCAGCTTCCTGTCCACTCCGCTAACCTCTGTGGGGATTTGTAACCTTACAAACAACGACACGTTTTATCCTCACAGCCTCATTCAACTCCGCTGTATAACCTCTGTGGGATTACTTACGCTGACATGGCATTTCTAAGGCCAGCAGCCCTTGAGTAACGCCTCAGTTAGCCTGTCAGCTATCTTATTTACGATGAGAAGAAAGCTCCTCGACACACCTGCCTCATCCCATCTCTGAGGCTACATGAACATGTTAGCGGTGGCTGCTGCTCGAATCAGCCTCCTTACCGTATGACTCCGACATCGCCAGTGTGGCGTTTAGACAGCAAAAAGAAAGGAAGGGGGGGATACAACTTGACAGATGGATAGCTAGCCAAGTAAAGGAATATAGTCCTGTTGATGATTTCCGCGGATTCCAGCTGATTTTCCCCTCCGACTTCCCGTACGTGGTTTGTATTTTCAAAATAAAAGCTGCCTTAAGTGATTGAGCCTTGTAGTGTCTTAAAGCTGCCACATGGCGGTGCTGTTTAACCTGCTAACAGCGGTTTGACTTCTGTCAATATCCTTCAGATTAATCGAAAGTTTGTTATCGGTATTGTTTTGAATTGATATTTTAGAATAATATAATTATTGTGTGTATAATTTAAATACCCCAGTCACAGATAATATCCCAATCCCGACCCGTACTCCAGCCCAGGAGGTGGCGGTTGTGTCCGTTGATGATTTCAAACCGCCACAAAACTTCACCAGAAGAAGACGACGGAGAAGTGGCTAGTGAGCTAGCCTAGCTGCAGGCTTTATTTAGCGAGATATGGCTGCTGTGCTCCCCGTTAGACCGCCCTGCGACAGCAACCCCGCTACTCCCGGAGCACAATCCATAAAGGTGACATTTGTATTCCGCAGAAAACACGAATAATATTGATCTCTGTTCACGAGCACGGTTGCTTGCTCAGCTAACGGCTAGTTAGCTGCCCAACGGCTAATAACGCCTCCGTCTATGAATGACAGCCGGTCTAGCGACCGGTTAGCGGCCGTTTAGCGACCGTTAGCGACCCCCCTTTGTTGTCATATGTGTGCGGGATGGTAGTGGTGTGTTTAAACATGTATTACTTTATAATGTCTGTAGAAGAAGCAACACGTCGGACTCTAAATGAGAGCAGTGGTTTCATGGTGGTGGCCTGTTTGAGCCTTTACCTTCACTGTCACCACTTTGCTAACTCTACATAACAATAATATAATAATAATAATAATTTAAACATGACAAACAAGCTCTCTTCTTTTCTCAAAGCGACATAACTACAGACAGGACCTCTCTAAAACACACTGATGGAGACTAGATTAGTTAGATATATGTTAATATAACTGCATTGTGTCTGGTCTAAAATGCACACTGTGGTTTTAAAGGAGGTCTGAGGAATTCACACTATTGTTTTTAAAGTGTGTGTGTTAGTTAAAGTTACAAAGTCTGTACACTTTGTTTGTTAATCATTGAGGCTCGAAGGTCCTAAGGATGAACATGTTTCAGAAACACTAAGCCAGATTTTAAAGAAGAAATATCCCCATGATTAAGTCAGAAGGAAGGACACCAACATTGGGACTATCTTGGCATCATTGATATTAATTGTGTGTTGTGTTTTTTGTCTTTTTCTGTCTGTAGGAAGATGTGATAGAAGAGGAGTCCAATGATAGCAGTCAGCCTCCGAAGAGAAGGAGAATGGGATCAGGGGACAGCTCTCGAAGCTGCGACACCTCCAGTCAAGACCTTGGGTAGGTTGGCTCAACACTTGGTATGGAGCAACAAACGGGCATTGCCAGGATTTCTTTTCCCGCAGTCTGGAAAACCTAAGATGTGTTTGCTGTTATATAACAGGTTTTCCCTTTTGCTGTACCCCCATAATGTATTTATATATACACGTGTGTATAAACTGATATACAGAACTGTTGATAATTCTGCTCTTGGTTGCAGGATTTGCACATGTAGCCCTCTTCAGTCGCATGTTTCCATTTTACATACTTCATAATACATAATATGAGAACCTGATTTAATCTCTCTAATCTCCTTATCATGTTATCGCTGCTCATAAAGAAATACCACAGCAGATTCGTCTTTTAAAGAGTTTTTTTATCCACCGTTGTCCCTCCAGCCCGACATATTTCCCAGCAGAGAACCTGACGGAGTACAAGTGGCCTCCAGATGACACAGGAGAGTATTACATGCTGCAGGAGCAGGTCAGCGAGTATCTGGGCGTCACTTCCTTCAAGAGGAAGTACCCTGGTAAGTGTTAAAGGATACAGAAGTACTCTTTTTCTGTCAAACACTATTGATTCTATAACATAATGCTGTTGATATGCTGATCCAAAATGATCAGCTAATTATTTAAAATGTTTTCCTGTATTAAATTGTTCTTATAATATATACCATAGTAATATTTAAATTGTTCTGTTTAGAGAAGTATTGTTGCTGGAGTCGTACATTAACGATTAATGATTATTGGCTTCGTCTTCTGTCGTACTGCTGTAATGATTCTTCTTCACTTGTGTTTTGAAGTGAAGATCGAGCGGCTCCCTGACCATTGTGGTGTTTTCTGTCCCTCTGTAGATATGGAGAGAAGAGACTTGTCCCACAAAGAGAAGCTTTACCTACGTGAGCAGAACGTCATTACGGAGACGCAGTGCACCCTGGGTAGGAACTTCACCTCAGTTGATATGGTTTCTACCTTGTTTATAAGTCGTCGGTGTGCTTGACGCAGAGTGTACAGAGTGTAACTCCTGTGTGTCTCCAGGTCTGACAGCTCTGCGGAGTGACGAGGTGATCGATCTCATGATAAAGGAGTATCCCACCAAACACTCTGAGTATTCGGTCATCCTGCAGGAGAGGGAGCGACAGAGAATAGCTAAAGAGTACTCTGTGAGTATACGAACGGAGAAATGTCCCGGGGTTGATGATTACTGTGGCATTGGATTTTTTTTACAGTAATGCATTTAATGAACGTCTTCCTTTTCTCCTCGTTTATGAACAGTGTCTCTTACGGTCTGTGTCTCTTGTCTTTCAAAGCAAATGCAGCAGCAGAACCCTCAGAAGGTGGAGGCCAGCAAGGTTCCTGAGTACATTAAGAAGGCAGCGAAAAAAGCTGCAGAGTTCAATAGTAACTTTAACAGGGAGCGTATGGAGGAGAGGAGAGCTTACTTTGACCTCCAGACACATGTGAGTCCAATGTGGGAAAACAGACGATTCACAGGGATTCAGAAAAGAGCTTCGTGTGTCATCGGCTGTGCTTACAATGGACATGTTTCCTCAGATTATCCAGGTCCCCCAGGGCAGGTTTAAGGTGCTGGCTCCAGAGCTGACGAGGACGGGCCCCTACCCTGTGGCTCTCATACCAGGACAGTTCCAAGAGTACTACAAAAGGTACAGTACACTGTTAGACCCAAACCTACATTACATCTCTCAGCCTGTATTCTGTACTGGGCTGAATGTTTTGTCCCTGATGCATCTTTGTGTTGATAGGTACTCTCCCAATGAGCTGCGGTACTTGCCGTTGAACACGGCTCTGTTTGAGCCTCCACTGGACCCAGAGCTCCCTGCGCTGGACTCCGAACCTGACTCGGACGACGCCGAGGACGGAAAGGACGTCAAAAAGAACAAGAACTCATCTGTAAGACTTTAGGCGGTGCTTGTATCTGTGTTACATCATACATCCTGGATCAGTGACTAATTGAAAGATTCACGTTTCCACATCAGAGTAATTTATCTCTACTACACTTGACTCAGATATCAACATGGAAATAAATGATCTCCCTCCTCTTCTGTTCCTCTACAGGACAGTTCTTCAGGCAACGCATCAGACGTGGAGAGCCAGGAGGGAGGAGGAGGAGGAGGAGGAGGAGGAGGAGGACACGGCCACAAGTCCAAGGGCAAAGACAGGACATCCACCCCAGGAAAAGACGGCAGCCATCGCCATTCTGCCTCCCACAAAGCCACCCCAGGGTACAAGGTAGAGGACAAAAGCACCTGAACTCTTCTCCAACAGCAGCAGCAGCACTTTTCTACCCCCTCCTCCTCTTTCTACTACTACCACTCCCTTACTCCATCCATCCCGCCACCCCTCCTTAGCTTTCTCCACTTTGTTCTCCGGCTTCTACAGTTTGTCACCTGGTCAGCTGGGACAACCTGGTCCACACACACACACACAGGGGGTCCTGTCTTCAGTTTTTATGATTACTACGTGGCTTTTTGTCCCCTCTTCGTACCAGACTGTGAGCAATAAGAACATTTTAAAGGAACAGTTCACTTGTTTCCTTTTCACTGCACTTTCACTTGGGTTTTTCAGCGAAGACAAATTTGAACTTTTAAAAGTTTTTTTTCCTTTTGAATGTCTTCAATATACCTCTTGTCTGTCCTCACTTGTCCAAAAAAACAAAAAAAAATACTTCCAAGACAAGTAAGTGGATGTTTTGGCTGCTAGTTTTTCTTTTTTCATTTTTGAAATGAAAAGTCTTTTTGTTATACTGATACAGAAAATAAAAGCCACATGCAGTTTGTGGTTGCTTTTAAAAAGTAGTTGATGTTATCACTAGAGAATATTAACATTTATATCTGAAGTGTCGAATGCACTTAACCCTAATGTTTTAAGTGTGTGTTGGTATAATAATATGCTTTGTTTATACACCATGTGATGTACTGTTAAGTGTTAGTATCAGACAGCTGTTTGACATGGGCTTTACTCGTCCCTATAATGTCACCGTGGAGCGATGAGGACTTGCTGACCTTGTTCACACTGTTGCTGAGCTGAGCTAGAGGTAGTCTGTAGCTGTCTGTCTGGGCCTGGAGCCCCACATCAGCTTATCTTTAACACCTAGTCACAGCATGTCTTTGGTAGTTTTAATAAACGCCTTGATTTCATCTAAATCTTCAAGGGACTGTAGATGGGGAATAGTATTATTTCAGAGAAGTGCCACCTACAGCCCGCCGTTTCATTTTTCTAATCCTCTACCTTTCAGAAGGAAAAACAAAAGCTGGTATAAAAGTGTTAGTGAGAGTATGATGGACCTGGGTAAGTCCAGTTGAGTTCAGCTCAGCTTTGTGGTGTGGGCATGGTCCCTTTTATAGTGTCTGTTACCAGTTACCAGTTTCAGTGTGTTTAAGTTTGATTTAACTTTTACTTTGACCTTTATTCATCAGATCATTTTGCATATTCTTTAGCGTACAGACATGACACGGCATGTTGGCAGCCACCATTCACTAGAATTAGTCAGTAACGCAATATCTCTGTACTGTATCAATTTGTGATGAGTACCAAAGGACCGAGAGATGTGATGGCTTTCAGGCATTTCTGTATTTGACAAAAATGCAATATACAGAAGTTAAGTTTGATCCATAGTTTTGTAACTCTGGTTGAAATGTAGATTTTTCATCTATCGT